TGGATAAAAATGTGGTTATTTTAAGGGGAGGGAGGAGATAGGGTTATACAAGGAACCTAGGGGATAAAGGGAAAGAAGGAGCTCATGAGAGCAGGGACCATAGAAGGGTATTATTTAGGGAGAAATGGGAAAAATGGAAAACCATGGTGGAAGGGTTAGACAATGAGAGAGATATATAATGCCTAGCTAGTTTTAAGAAAAACAGAGGGAGCCATATTAGTTCAACACCATACTAACAAATTATACATACAACTTGATCAAGGAACATAATATGTGTCTATTCAAGGTTTATCTGAGAACGTTTGCTTTTGCCCAAGCTTTATCTATGTAGTGCATGTTAATTAAAAGCACCAGACTGGTGGAACTAACCTTCATGGATGTTTAACAGCCCTACTTTGAGGCCTATATTAATCTGGTTAGATGGACTTAAAGGACAGTTTGTGCTCCTTGTCCTCCAAGGTCGACTAAGTTCTAAGGAACTATGGAACATTTCCCAAAATGTCTGGTAACTGTGGTGAGTCTCCTGTCCTCTTGATCAAGGAGGCCGTGGAGACCCCACCAGATGGACTTGAACCAGAGTCCAGTCTGCAAAGAGGAGGCTCAACACAGAGGAAATATTTCCTCCATGCTTCCAAGTGAAGCCAGTCATGGTCGAGCAGGATGACAGAGTATATACTCTGTCCAGTGCGGGGGGTGCAGGGAGGTTATGGGAGGGTGTCATTTGGGTTGGGGGTATAAAGATGAATAAGATTGTTTGGGATGTTCTATATGAAATACACAGAAAAAGTCATTAAATAAAAAATGAGCTATATTTGAGAAAGAAGCATAAAAATTTGTTTCAAGTTAATTAGTAGATATGAAAAACATTACCATTGAAATATACCTGATGACTTTATAGCCATGCTCAGGTGCCAAGGATCTCAGAAAGTAACTGACTGTGGCTAGTAATAATCAGATATATGGAGATTAGAAATGCATGTGCTTCATAGTATCAATTGTATTAAAAATGAATTTTTCTATATGAAACTATTTTAATAATGAAATGTAGATCTTTTTAAAAGTTTAAAACCTCATTTAATTTTATGCCTTATAGGGGTTATATGGAAAAGGGCCAAGAACATTCACTGGAGGAAAGAGCATGTTCAGCAAATGGTGCTGGCAAAACTGGATCTTCACCTGTAGAAGAATGAAATTAACCTCTATCTTTCACCTTGCACAAAAGTCAACTCCAAATGGATCTAAGACCTCCATTTGAAGCCTGATACTCTGAAACCGTTAGAAGAAAACATTGGCAAAAACCTACAAGATATAGGTGTAGGTAAGGATTTTCTAACCCAGTCATCAATTTCTCAGGAAACAAGGTCAAGAATCAACAAATGGGACCTCGTAAATCTAAAAAGCTTCTGTACATCAAAAGAAGAAACCAAGGAAGTGAAGAGAAAACCCACAGAGTGGGAGAAAATCTTTGCCAGGGACACATCTGACACAGGTTTAACATCCAAAATATATAAAGAACTCAAAAAACAAAGATTCAAGAAAGGAAGTAACCCAGTTAAAAGATGGGCTAAGCATAAAATAAAAATAAAGAAAAAAAAAGAGATGGGCCTAGGGGCTGAACAGAGAGTTTTCTGATGAAGAAATAAAGATGGCTAAAAATCATCTTAAAAGGTGTTCAACATAATTATTAATTAGGGAAAATTAAAACCACTTTAAGATTTCATCTTACCTCAGTCAAAGTGGCTAAGATCAAGAGAACAAATGATACCAAATGTTGGAGAGGATGTGGGGAAAGGGGAACACTCATCCACTGCTGGTGGGACTGCAAACTTGTTCACCCCCTATGGAAAGCAGTGTGGAGAACTCTTAAAAAACTGAAAATGGGGGCGGGGGAGTTGGGGATTTAGCTCAGTGGTAGAGCCACTTGCCTGGCAAGCACAAGGCCCTGGGTTTGGTCCTCAGCTCCGAGAAAAACAAAACAACCCCCCCCCTAAAAATGAACCTTCCATTTGACCCAGTTATACCACTCCTTGACATACACCTAAGGAACTCATCCTATTGCAGAGACACTTGTACATGCATGTTTGTTGCTGCTCTTTTCACAATAGCCAAGAGATGGAAACAACTTAAGTGTCCCTCAATTGACGAGTGGGTAATGAAAATGTGATCTATTTATATGATTGGGTTCTACTTAGCAGTAAGGAAAGATGAAATCATGAAATTTGCAAGTAAATGGATGGAACTATAAGCTGTTATACTAAGTGAAGTAATACAGTCTTAGAAAAACAAAGGATGTATGTTCTCCCTCATATGTGGATCCTAGCACCAAATCCTTGTGAGTGAGTACGTATCCAGACATAACCACAGGAGCCAGGATAACGGAAAGGAAAGAGGGAGGTAAAGGAAAAGAAAGAAGGTGAGAGAGAAGAACAGTAGGAAACAGGTGTCAATAAGGGAGATATGGATAAAAATGTGGTTATTTTAAGGGGAGGGAGGAGATAGGGTTATACAAGGAACCTAGGGGATAAAGGGAAAGAAGGAGCTCATGAGAGCAGGGACCATAGAAGGGTATTATTTAGGGAGAAATGGGAAAAATGGAAAACCATGGTGGAAGGGTTAGACAATGAGAGAGATATATAATGCCTAGCTAATTTTAAGAAAAACAGAGGGAGCCATATTATTTCAACAACATACTAACAAATTATACATACAACTTGCTCAAGGAACATAATATGTGTCTATTCAAGGTTTATCTGAGAACGTTTGCTTTTGCCCAAGCTTTATCTATGTAGTGCATGTTAATTAAAAGCACCAGACTGGTGGAACTAACCTTCATGGATGTTTAACAGCCCTACTTTGAGGCCTATATTAATCTGGTCTGATGGACATAAAGGACAGTTTGTGCTCCTTGTCCTCCAAGTTCGACTAAGTTCCAAGGAACTATGGAACATTTCCCAAAATCTCTGGTATCTGTGGTGAGTCTCCTGTCCTCTTGATCAAGGAGGCCATGGAGACCCCACCAGATGGATTTGAACCAGAGTCCAGTCTGCAAAGAGGAGGCTCAACACAGAGGAAATGTTTTCTCCATGCTTCCAAGTGAAGCCAGCCATGGTCGAGCAGGATGACAGAGTATATACTCTGTCCAGTGTGGGAGGGTGTCATTTGAGTTGGGGGTATAAAGATGAATAAGATTGTTTGGGATGTTCTGTATGAAATACACAGAAAAGTCATTAAATAAAAATAAGCTATATCTGAGAAAGAAGCATAAAAATTTGTTTCATGTTAATTAGTAGATATGAAAAACATTACCATTGAAATCTACCTGATGACATTATAGCCATGCTCAGGTGCCAAGGATGTCAGAAAGTAACTGACTGTGACTAGTAATAATCAGATATATGGAGATTAGAGATGCATGTGCAAATATCTAAGTGTTAGTTGCATTAATAATGAACTTATTTGTATGAAAGAGTATATTTTAAAAAGAAATGGAGACCTTTTTTAAAGGTTAAAACTTCATTCAGTCTTATATCTTATATGGTGTATACTGAGTACAGTAATGTATAACTGTATTAATATAACACTGTGAACCTAAAAATTTACACCCAATTTTGAAAGAGATGTGTCTTTGCTCTGGAAACTATTATTGACTATGTCAGTGCTGTTGTAATAAAATTCTTCTGCTAGTTATGTGGTTATTAAATAAATTTAAAAAAGAAATGGGCCATATGATAAACTGCTCAATCTTTTTAGAGACTGGGATAGTATATTAATGGAAAATATAAAATACTCTATGTCCAGAGGTTTGATCTCTATTCTTTCCACCCCACACCACTTAATCATGGTTTTCTGTGACTTACGAGTTGAGGATTGGGCTGGAGAGATGGCTCAGTGGTTAAGAACATTGACTGTTCTTGCAGACGACCCAAGTTCAAATCCCAGCACCCACATGGCAGCTAACAACTGTCCAGTAACTATAGTTTCAGGGGATCTGACAGCCTCTTCTGTCCTCTGCTGGTGTTGCACAATACAGGTGCACTTACCTACATGCAGGCAACACACACATACACATAAAATAAAAATAGTAAATAAAATATTTAAAAACATTATTAGTCCAGATTAAGTTCATTAATAAAGTTTATTCCCACAGGAAGAAAAAAATGATGAAACACTGACAGTTTTTGAGAAACAGTAGTATTGGATTCTTGAAGCATCCTAGGAGGCTGTAGGGTTGTACTCTTCAGCTTTACTGGAATAATAAATCCATATCCATAAAATATTTAAAAAAGTATTAGTCCAGATTAAGTTCATTAATAAAGTTTATTCCCACAGGAAGAAAAAAAATGATGAAACACTGACAGTTTTTGAGAAACAGTAGTATTTGGTTCTTGAAGCATCCTAGGGTCCTGTAGAGTTCTACTCTTCAGCTTTACTGGAATAATAAATCCATATCATCTCGTGTCATGAAAAAAATAGCATTGCTAATGTGAGACATGCAAATAGTTCATCATTAAAAACTCTTACTGATGCACTTGCATTGTGTTGATTGTTAACAAGGCTGAGTATTTTTCTGCATATTAATAATTTGCATTTACTCTTTTGTGAATTGACTAATCATGTATTTTTAAAAATTTAAGTGACTGATATCTTACAGAATTTATATTAATCCCCATTCCTTTGATCCCATTTGTCTAATAAAAGTATGGATAATTTTTAATGTTGACCTCTATGTGTTGATCTCGTCAACCAGTGACATTTAAGTTCCTCCTGAGTAAACTTCATGTTTGTACTTACAAGGTACTCTGTATTGCTGAACAGAATAAAAATAAGAAATGTAATTTGATTGACTGAATAAGGAACAAGCATTTTTATACTTTGATTTGTGCCATTTTCAAGTTTAGTGTGCATGAGAACTATGTTCTGAATCACTCATCTGAAATGTGAGGAAGGCAGGATAGACTGATATGAATCCATTCATTCTGCGTATTTTATCTTCTGTGTAGGTGGCCCATGAATTGGAACTTTATAACACAGGACATTATTTAGGCATGTTCATTAATTCTTTTGCTGTCTTTCAGGTATGTATAGTTTGCCAGACAATCTAAAAATATATCAGTATCTTTTACTATTGTAAAAACTTTCACAATTAATAAGATGCTAATGTCATAATGAAATGCTAATGTCTTATTGGCTGTGCACTGTTATATAAATCTTATCTGAAATTGAGAGTTAATCATCTTTTCAGTTTTAAAAGTAAATGGAAGAATTCATTGTTATATTGATGGAATTATTATTAAATAAATTCTTTTATATTATGGTTTTTTAAATTGTTTGTGTGAATATATGTAAGTTAGGAAAAGAGGGAGAGAGAGAAAGACACACACATGCATGCACACACAATTACCAGACAGAGAGAAAATGTGTTTATCTAAGCTCTCCAAAATGAACAAGAGTGTGTCTAGACTATGGGGGACTTCTATGATTACAGAACATTTATTTTTTAAAATATTTTATTTATTATATTTTACATGTATGAGTGTACTGCCTGCATGTATGTAAGTGCACACCTGTCATGCAATGCCTGTGAAGGTCAGAAGAGAGCACTGGATTCCCTGGAACTGGAATTGCAGACAGTTGGTAGCTGCCATGTGGATGCTGGAAACTAAACCTGGGTCCTCTGCAAGAGCAGCCAGTGCTCTTAACCTTGGAGCCATCTCTCTAGTCCCAAGATTAGAGAAAATTTAAACTTTGATTTTTATTTCGCTTTTTAAAAAAACTTTTATTCTCTTTAAATTTTGATTTCTTAAAATAATTTTTTTCTAGGAATGTGGTATCTGGGTCTTGACAGATGCAAACCTTGTGAAGGACAATATTGATGGTGTTTGTAAGTAAAATCTGGCAATATGCTTGTAAAATATTTGCATTTTACCTCAGACATTTAACATTACTTATATGGGGATGGGTACTTTTTGGTTCAATATGACTATTGTGTCCTGAAATGTTTTAACTTTATCCACTTTGGAAGGACATTTGAGTCATGACATGGAATGTCTTCTGGATTCCTGTCTAGGCTTTAAAACGAATACTTGTTTGCCTTTCATAGTTTTATTTATTTACTTTTTTGAGGTAGTTATAACTATACTATAGTCTGGACACATTGGAAGAGCTTGTGATTGTGTTGCAAACTGTGCTATTATTTTGGAATTAGTTGAAAGGAGCCACAAGTTCTGAAACATTTGTGTTCTCTGGCTTTTGGATGCTTGCCTAAAAATAGCCAAGAATGTCTCAAGTAGGTCCTTTCTCTCTGTGTCTCTGTGTCTGTCTGTCTTTCTCTCTCTCTCTCTTTCTCTCTCTCTCTCTCTCTCTCTCTCTCTCTCTCTCACACACACACACACACACACACACACACACACACACACACACAAAACCCTTATCAGTCTGGCCGGCATGGCTCTATCTATGTGTCATAGTTCCCTAAGTGTTTTTAAAGGATTTTTTTTAGTGATTGTTAGTTTTTATTCTATGTGTATGAGTGTATTATCTGCATGTATGTAAGTACACCTATGATGTGCAATGCCCACAAAGGTCAGAAGAGGTTGTCAGATCCACTGGCACTGGGGTTTTGAATAGCTGTTAGTCACTGTGTGTGTGTTGGGAATTGAACCCTGCTCCTCTGCAAGAGCAGCCAGTGCTTGTAACTGCTGAGCTGTCTCTCCATCCCCACTAAATGTGTTTTTAGGAAGAAGTCATAAAAGATTTTGACTGAATTATGAATAATAATTATTAATTGTAGAAGTTACTCTATTTTCAAAGGCAAAATTATACTAATGTATCCTTGAGAGGTGTCCAGAACTTTTACAGTTCCTAAATCTGAATTCCCTGTTTCTGTTAGGACTTTTCAATCACTTCACACCAAGTCCCAGGCCAAAATATGACACCTTGAGGCTCTCTATAAAAGATCATTTTATCATCTTGAAGATTTATGAAGTTATTATGATCTATATTAAAACCATTGATGCATTTAACTTTTGTCATCATATTCTCTATCCTTTGCAGCTTTTAAAATACCTATTGTATCAAGTGTTCAGTTCTAACTTCTGTTTTTGTCTACATATATGCAGTCCTGTCTAATACCTATTATAGTACTTAATTTATTGTCAGTAATGTGGTCAGACCCCTGTGCCCATGTGTTCCACATTGGTGCATTTAACCATCTGTAGATTGAAAATATTTAATTGATTAATTTTTATTTTTATTTATTTTTATTTTGTGTGTATGAGTGTTTTGCCTGCATGTATGTAAGTGCACCATGTCATGCAATTCCTGTGGAGACCAGAAGAAGGCACTTGTTTCTCTGGAGCTGGAGTTACAGATAGTTATTAGCTGCCATATGGGTGTTAGGAACTCAACTTGGGTCTTCTGCAAGAGCAGCCAGTGCTCTTAATCGTTTAGCTGTCCCTCCAGTTCTGAAAATATTTTGAAAAATGATTTCTGTACTGAACATATTCAGACTCTTTTTATTCTTGTTACTGCATAGTATAACAACTATTTACATAGTATGGGAGTGTGTAAACTCTGAAAATGCTAGTCAATAGATAGTGGTTGTTTTAAGTGCATACCTAGCATGTGTGAGGTAATGGGGATTCCAACTTGGTCTAGTGGGCAAACCAAGACACACAGAGTGCTTGCTAAGGGTCATGATGGAGAGGGACAGCATGTCACAGGAGGACAGGGGGTACCCAGAAGCAGAGCAGAGTTGTCTCCTAAATCTTACCTCTACACTGCTGCCTGGCCTCTGGCTACCATCCTGGCCTCCTTATCCATTGCGGTGGTCTTCTAACACTGTTCCAACACCCTTCATTTTGCCAGAGCACCAAGCATTGTTCACACCGATGCCAGAGTTATCTTTGTAAAACATGGGCTAAGACATGGTTTATCTTTATTTAAAAACCTTCAGTGATCATTTAAAGGGTGTAATCTAAAGCCTTCAGTCTGACTTACTTTATGTATTCAAATCTGAACCTAACATCTTTTCTCTTTTCATTTATGGCACCATCACCAAATATGCACTGTATTTTGGGGATGTCTTTGCCTTTGGCTCACATTTTTTTTCACTGTGGGATGCCCTTTATTGAAAGGCTTAAAGAAATGAAGTACAAAAAACTTAGTTTTTTTAGAATATTAGAATATTTTCCTGGTCACACCCTTTCATTATTCAGACTCTTTGTAAAGTTAACTATTTTCTACATTGTAGACCTTTGGTAGCTGTTGTCTTAACCATGTTTATTACAATTTTTATCCTCTTTATAGACTATGAATAGATTTGCTGTATTCATATTTATATCCTTTGGCACCTGCTACACTGTAGTTTAATTTTCTTTACGTTGTATTTTTAAATAATTTAAATTTACAGAAAAGTTGAACAATGGAGATACACAATCCAAAGTCTAGATAGCCACGTGCATTTCTATTGTAAAATCCAATAACTGAATGATTATAGTATCCTATGGCTGGTGTAGCCAAAGGTCATCAGGACCAAGGAAGTTTAAAAAGAGGCGAGTATAAAAATTATAGGTGGTTTTTAAAAATGTGATCTAAGGCGCTGGAAAGATGGCTTAGTCGTTAAGAACACTGGCTGCTCATCTAAGGATACGGGTTTGGTTCTCAGCATCCACATGGTGACTAACAACTGTCTTTAACTCCAGTTCCAGGGGATCTGATGCCATCCTGTGGCATCTGTGGACACTGCATGACACAGGTACACATATATCTCCTAGCCTGCACTCCCATCCTCAGACCTCTTGGGGTAAGTCTATAGCACAGCCCTCTGCACTTTGACTCCCCAAGCCACATTCACCCTTCCATCTCCCCCGCTGTTCTCTACTCCTAGTTTGGGCCCTGTGCCATTCCTAGTCTTGGGGCCCCAGACACCTGGGGAACCAATACTGCTTCCTGATCCTTTTCACCCAGAACAACTTAGTGCCTTTCTTGGGCCCCAGGAGCACTGCTTCTGGACCTGGCCCCACCCTCACCTCTCTCTGCTTCCCAGGACTGGCTAACTCTCCCAGCTTGCACTCCTATCCTCAGGCCTCGTGGGGTAAGTCTATAGCGCAGTCCTCTGCGCCTTGACTCCCTCAGCCACATTCACCCTTCCATCTCCGCCGCTGTTCTCTACTAGTTTGGGCCCTGTGCCATTCCTAGTCTTGGGTCCCCAGACACCTGGGGAACCAATACTGCTTCCAGATCTTTTTCACCCAGACCAACTTAGTGCCTTCCCTGGATCCTAGGAGCATTGCTTCTGGACCTGGCTCTGCCCTCACCTCCCTTTACTTCCCTGATCCTGCAACACCCACTAGCATCTTTCTGGGGCTGACAACCTCTTTCTGGGGCTCCCAGGCTTACCTTTCCTCTCCCTCATCCTTTGCATCCCGTACAACCCAGCTACTCAATCCACTCCCTGGGAAATCTTGGGGCTTCTTCCCACCCCAACTGCCTTTGCATCCCTGTGTGGCATGGCCATGGCCAGGATCTCAGGTCAGTCCAACACCCAGGTTCCTGAAGCCAAAATCATTCTTATAAGATTCCAGACCTAAGGAGAAAGTCTGAAAACTTCTGACCCACATTGGAATTGGGCCACCGCGGAACTCCTGAAGACAAAATCAATCCGGCCACGACAATATAAAATCAAAAGAGAGAACCA